ACAAAAAACAGAGAGAGAGAGAGAGAGAAAAAAAAAAAAGCGGCAAAAGCAAAAAGCAAAAGCTGGACAGCAGAAAGCCGAAATCCACAGGAGGATGTTGCATACCTACAACTGCGAATTCAGGCAAAGTCTATATGAGCAAGCAAACCTTGAAGTTAGGAAACAACTTTGAACTAATGAGACCGACTATGCACACCATTGCTACACTACTACGATACCCTGAACCCTTAATTAGATATATGGGTACCTTTATAAAGGGGGATAGAGGGGTTATATAGAAGATAATGGAAAAGAAAATGGAAGCTACTATATTATTTAGGGTTTAGGTATTACTACTACTGTCAATGCCAGCAGCCGGCCTGTTCTTCCAAGTCGCCCAGATCTCCATGCGGAAGCCGGCCACAGCGCTGCAGCCGTGCGAGCACGCCCAACATCGCAATCGTGGAATTGTTTGACACTTCAAGGTTGGTTGGAGACTATATAGTTGTATATAGCTGGGTGTTATGGACGTGCCAATGGTGGGACTTGACTTGCGCAATGCGGCATTTGGTCCAGTATGACCCTCAACTGATGCAGTCGCATGTAGAACAGTCGCAGGCAACCAACAGTGTCTTCGTTCTCAGTCAGCATCACAACAAACTCTCGAGCGGAGCGGAGTTGTTAGTCGCCATCATGATCACGACCAGCAACGGTCGTCATCATCACCACCACCATCATCATCACCGCTGTCACGTGCAAGGATCCTTCCGCGCCTTTTCATTCTGGATTCTGTACAGAAACGTCTGCAGGCAGGGATGCCGGCAAGTTGACTTTTCTTGCCACGGCGCACCAATTGCCAGTATCGAAGTAACCTGAACCACACCGGAGACCATCAGGTAAGTACACGACCGAGATGGATCCAAAGAGAAGTGAACAGCTCAGCCATGGGCTTTCCTCTACCTCTAACTCTGGCACGTGCGCCAACCTACAGATTGGCTGCTCAGATATCTAGGCACAGGTTGCAATGCGAGTGCGGCCGCATTGCAAATGACTATGGTTTTATATTGGGGTAATACAGGGATAGTGAAAAGGAAAATGGAAAGTACTGTGCTACAAGAACGTATATATTGGGGATTATAGAAGGTAATAAGGGAATACAGGTATAGTTGGAATGTAAGAGAACCTTTTAATATAGTCCTAATCATCCCCTATAGCTACTATTACAGGGTGCGGGGTCCACCTAATCTATAGGGATTACGGATCTTCCCTACCCTAAAGCCTAAACCCTACATTCCCTAATTTGGTCCAGACCCTGCTGAGTACTTCGCAACTCCAAAAGCTCGCCCTCCCTGTACACGTGGCAATACCTTTGGCCTGGGCTGCGTCACACATTTCGCGCAGGACATGGGCGCAGCCCTCACGCAGTATATCATACCCTAATCTACTATAATATTTCATAATATATGTATGTGTATGTATACTGTAGCCCCCCGTAAGTAGACAGAATATGGGGTATATGTGGATCTTATTATAGTCCTCCTTAAGTAGATAGAATATGGACTATATGGGGATCTTATTATAATATACCCAAAGCCATATTCTATCTACTTAAGGGGGACTGCATGTCTAGCAGCTTCACTGCACCCAGGCCCGCAACACACTGGCGGCTGCTCTTCCCAATCCTTTTGATCGCCTTCAGCCCCTGCTGCAACACCTGCATCTGTTAGGAGGAGCCCCCACCCTGTATTAGTAGTATTAGAATAATAGGAATATAAGAGGACCCTAATATAATCCTTACTATTGCTTATAGTCACTATTACTGGGCGGGGGGTCGACCTAATGCATCTGCAACATCTGTGTCTGACAAGACTAGAGTCCCCCTCAAGTAGACAACATAAGGAATAGCCCAGCATCGACAATAGTATGTGTTATGGTAGACATACTAGTATACATAATAGTAGATTCTGGTAGACTCTAAGATGATATCATATACTACGGCATCTTTACTAGATTCTAATATATTGGTTCTTACCCTGCCATCTGTCTTCCTTACACAGATCCATACAACGAGCCTTCTTCCTCCGTGCCCTTTGGCGGCTTACTTCCAGGCGCCTGGTCTTTAGATGTTTAGGGTTGGGGGTGGGGGTTTAGAGGTTTAGGGTTTAGGGGTTGCGGGCTTAGGGTTCATAATTGCCTTAGGGTCAAGGCCACCTTATACTGTTGCTATCTACTATTATTGCTACAATTATTGTTATTACCATTATAAGTACGCTTTTGATCATACTATCATGAGCGCCTAGTTGAGGTAGTAACATGGAATAGGTGACTATAGTATGTAGGGATTGTATAGGATTACATTCCCTTGTTCCCTACTGAGCACCAAAGGTCAAGGTCAACAATCACACTGCCCCCAAAAGAAGTACATGGTCGTTGTGCAATAGCAGGGCTCCCCTGCCTTCTTCACACCAGGTGTTCGAAAGCTCCATGGCACCAAAACATCCTGCAAAAGATGAGAAACAACTACTATAATATATCCTAGTATACCATCATCTACTACAATACAATTACTATGATATACTAGAATATAACAAAATATACTACAGTATGTTACAATATGCCTTAGGAGGACCCCCCACCCTGTAATAGTGGTATAATAGGAATATAAGAGGGCCCTAATATAGTCCCTATTATCCCCTATAGTCACTATTACTGGGTGGGGGGTCCACTTAAAAACTGTATAAAAACCCTAAACCCTAAACCCTAAACATGCTATGTTGTTCTGCAGACCAGGCCTGGGCTTCGAAACGATGTCGCGATCTCGAGCGCTCATCATCCTGCCTTAGACAGGATAAGATCTAGTATGTACTATAGTATCTTCTAATATATTCTTATATACTCTAGTATATTAGGGTATATTCTAGTATATTCTGAAATTCGAATATGTTCTGGTATATTCTAATGTACTATAATGTATTATAGCATACTATATTATAGTATATACAATAATATTATAGTATGTTCAAATCTATTGTAATATATTCTGATATGTCATAAAACATGCTAGTATATTGTAGTATGACATAATATGTTATGATTCATGATATGTACGGGTATACCAATATACCCAAAGCTATGTTGCAACAGCCACTTCAAGCCCTAAACCCTAAACTCTAAAACCTAAACTCTAAACCCCAAGCCCTAAACCCTACACCCTAAACCGCTCTTCTGGACGCTTGGGCTCTGACTCAAAACTCCAGCAGTAAACTAAGAGGTGGCCATCTGGTCGCAAAAGGCGCCTCAGCAAATTGCGCTATAACACTTAGCTTTTTTTTGTGGGACCTTTTCTCCTCAGGACAATCCCTGCGGAAATGCTACTAAAGCACGTAGGGGTTAGGGTTTAGGGTCTACGGTTTAGGATTTAGGGTTTAGGGTTTAGGATTTAGGATTTAGGGTTTAGGGTTTAGTGTGTTTTTGGGCTTAGGTTTTAGATTTGAGGGTTAAGGAATTAGGGTTTAGGGGCAGTTTCCCAAAACAGGGGGAGCCCAATATAGCCCCCAAAATACCCCAAAATACGATAGTCCCTCCAATTTTGGGAGACCCCTATATAATCCCCTATATAACCCCCTTAAAGGAGTTTAGACTATGGCTGATATAGTCGGTTACCATGTTCTTTTCCATTATCCCCCTAAGCCCCAAACCCTATACTCAGAACTCAAAAAAAAAATCAAGCTGCCCAGAACACTAAAACCCTAAACCCTGAAACCCTAAACCCGAAAACCCTAAACCCTGAAACCCTAAACACGAAGAAGGCCGTCTTCCCAACCCGCAGAATCAATGCAAGCGGCGCTGCTTCACGCAAAGCCTGACCGAGCTTGAGCTTGTCACGTGAAGCAGTACCATGTCAGCTCTAGTCTAAACTCCTAGTATCCCCTTCAAACCCCCCATACTACTCGCCTATATCATCCCATATATAATCCCATTTCAGGAGTTGAGACTATAGCTCATGTGTTATGGGTTTTATTTTAAACTTGCCGGCAGGCCAGCAAGAGCACACAGTCAAGCAAGCTTGAACACGCGAACAATCATAGCATGTATACCCTATGATAACATAGTAGCTTCCATTTTCTCTTCCATTATCCCAATATAACCCCGATGTAATATCATGGCAGCAGCCTGAATGCGCCGTGGCTCCGTCGACAAATGATGCAACACCTTGTCGATACCAAGGCTGCCTGCTGCGCATCAAATTTTGGTAGTTTCCCAAAATCAGGGGACCCCAAGATACACCCCAAAATGCTGTAGTCCTTATTATAGGGACCCCCAAAATGGTACCCCTAATTTTGGGAAACTCCGTTTTCTGACAAAGCTGAGGGCCTAGCAGCAATGGAAAGCACTGCGTCAAAGCTGCCACTGCGCATCGGTGCGCAAAGGCAGTCAGAAACCTCGGCAGTCTTCCGCATCAGCATCTTGCTACAAATTCCCGGAGTCTTCAGGCAGGGACCATGCAGCAGGCCCCGTGCTCCTGTGCATCTTTGCAACTGGCAAGCCAAGTCATGTACACACAGAAGTTGGTCAAAGCCGTGTTGGGGGTTTCAGGACAGCGTTCTGATCAGTCCTTGGCTGCAATTTCTGCCAGGGGGGCGCTGATATCCTTCAGTGCCATGCACTTATCTTGAGGATGAAGTGGCTCCAAATTGAACACGGTGCCCTTGAGGCGGAAACGCTTGCTACTGGAAAGCATCCAGCTTCTTTCACATGCAGCCTCAGAAACAGTAACTCATCTTTGGCTTTCCAGTGTCACGGCTCACACGAAGAACTATGATGCTGACAAATTCTTGCCATTGCCTGCAAGCGCGCACAGTACGGATATCTTCATGCTTCGTGTCATGGAACCACCACTTCTCCGCAGCCAGGGCCCAAGCCACATCCAAGGTCTGCAACCAGCGATCCCCGCGGCAAGCCGCGGATAAATGCCTCAAGCCCAGGCCACCACGATCACTGAAGCATCTCAAGCTGTCTAGCTGCGCACAGCCTCCACTTTGGGCCAAGCTTTGTAGCGCCTGGGCTGTTTTCATGCCATAGATCGACTCGCGGCTCCGAAAAGCACGCGCCCTATCGTTGTGCAAGCTGCCAACTTTCATGCCGGGAAGGCCTCTGGGCAGGGTTCAAGACATCTTAGTGCGGGACGTGTGGTTCCAGTGGCTGGCGATCGCGTCGTAGACTTTATGTACATTCTCCAACTGGCTTCAGGCATCATGCGGATAGCGGGGAAGCTAACATTTACACATCGCAGTCTGCAAGGCCTCAATGGCAGGAGTGCAGAGCGGGTTCTCACTCTCCGCTTCTGGAACCTGAAGAGCTAGAATCTGAACTCCTTAAAGGAGGGCTATATAGGGGATTCTATAGGGGACTACTTTAGGAGATGTTAAGGGGGATCCTAGGAGTTCAGACTATAGCTCTGATTGGCGGGAAGCCAAGTCATGGGCCCTGCACATAGGGGATACATAGGGATATTACCCCAATAATGGAGAATCAAATGGAAAAGAAAATAGAAAATGAAATGGAAACCCTAGGTCCCCTTGAAGGGGTATATAGGGATATTGCCCCAATACCTTAACCCTATACCCTAAATCCTAAATCCTAAATCCTAAACCCTAAACCCTAAACCCTAAATCCCAAATCCTAAATCCTAAACCCGCGAGTCTCGATGTCCATGCTTGGCTCCAAGCGATCACTGCCCTTGTCTTTTGCTCAGGACCTTTGAGCTCCTGCATGCAAAGCCAACATTCACATAACCCCTTTATAACCCTAATATAACTCCCATATAACCCAAATATAGCCCTAATATATCCCCTATATAACCCCTATATAGCCCCAATATCCTGCACAGCTTGTGGACACAATTCGTTCCTACACTGAGTAGGATTAGGAAGAAACGGATTGCAGGGGCCACTTGATGCAGGCGCGTTTGACGTTTTGCAGCTTCAAGCATCGCAGATTCGCGGTCCTATTGTCTCTCTAGATGTGAAACACAGTTCCTAGCTCGAAAGAATCGTAGCGGCTCCACAGAGCCTCACGGCTTGTGTGGAGTGCCATGGTAGAACTTCCTCAGTTTTACGAAGCCAGCAAAAGTTGCAGCCTGACTAGGCTCAGGGTTCAGGGTTTAGGGCTTAGGATTGCAGCTAAGAATCCATTTGTTGAAGTCACCTCAGAGTCCCATGTTCACCCTCACTGCTAAACAGAGGGCGCAACACACTACACAGAGCCAAGGAGCACTGAGGTGCTTCGATTGTGGGCTCATCTGGGTACTTTTTGAGGAACCTGCAGCTCACGCACGAAAATCACAGCAGCTTCATCGGGATATATAGGGATATTACCCCAATAATGGAGAATCAAATGGAAAAGAATATGGAAACCCTGGGTCCCCCTTAAAGGGGTATATAGGGATATTGCTGCATGGCCAAGAAACATCTCTTCTAGCTTCCGCGTCCGCCATTCACAAAGCATGGTGTCAAACCTGCTCCAGACTCGAAAGAACTCTTGGCTTAGGTGTCAATGTGGGTTACGTAAACCCGAAACCCTAAAGCCCAAACGCTAAACCCTTTTTGGAGTTCTTGCTACGCGCCTCCCATCCCAGAAGTTCAAGTGAACTCCCTGGTCAGTCAGCGGATCGTATTCCTCGGATGAAGCGAACACAAACGCAACATGAAATGCAACATGCTCGAGGGAGGCTAATGCAACGTGCAATTCTCTACTTGTGGCCATGGCTCACGACCGCCCGAGTTGATGAAGTTTGCATAGTTGCCACTTTCCTCCGTGATGCCAACTAGCTCGTCAATGCGGATCTCTCCAGCAAACTCAAGTTGGTAGGTGCAGTCACCTGCCACATGGGGTGAGACAAGTTCAGGGGCCGCATCCTTTTGCCACGTGCTGGACCCAAACTAACCCAAAGCAGATTCTTGCGGCATCAGAGGATCAGTGTCCAGCATTATAGTATATTATGTTGTAGTATAGTACAGTATTGTATATTAAAATATCTTATCCTATAAGATATTATATCATATCAAGCTGGCCTGTTCCATTTGGGAGCACACCCTCAGGACATTGGCCACCAGGCTGGCTGGCCTGCGACAGATCTTCAGGGCATAGCTTTCATAATTAAGGAGTGTAAAAGGGATTAAGGGATGTAGGGGAGGGGTATATGCGGGTAATGGAAAATAGGGTTAGGACTTCAGGACATGGCCTTCATACTGAAGGGGGAGTGTAAAAAGCATATGATGGTAGTTTCCCTAGAGAAGGGGGCCCTCATATAAACCCCAAAATAGTATAACCCTTATGAAAGCAACCCCAAAAAAGGTATCCCTCATTGTGGGAAAGCCCTAAGCCCTAAACCCAGATATATCCCTGTAGAACCCTATATATCCCCTATAACCTGTTAAAACATGACACCTCGAATTTTGTCAACCCTGAACCGACCGTAATCCATTAACCCTAACCCCTAAACCTTAATCCCTAATCCCTAAACCCTCATCCCTAAACCCTAAACCCATATCATCTCTCCAGCACAAAGACCCGGCCTGGCAGCTTTTGCTCTTTGCGCCCAGCTTGGCGAATGGACAGGGCCCTGGCAAACCTGGGTCAAGCTATTCGGGTATGAGAATATGTTCTATTGTTGTAAACAACAGTAGACTAGATCAATTATAGTATATTATAGTATGCATGTGTAGTATATAAAAATAGAATATATTATAAAAGACTACATTATCTTCGATTATATTATTGTATAATATAATATGTTGTATTCTAATATCGTATATTATGGTATATTAAAGAAAAGTATAATATAGTATATTACACTATATGATATTATCTAATTCTATAGTATGTTATCTTACCTTTGGGCGTAAGCGAGCTGAGCGCATGTGCTCGCCCTGATGGGACTTAGCCCCCAGCTGAACCACGAAGCGTTTGGGTAGAAGTTCAATTTGTTCCTGTGAAACCAGAATGGGAAACACGCCTTCTGCTAAACATGGCTTTGACTAAGAATAATGATAGAACAAAAGAAAGGTAATAATAGTATTAATAATAATACCAACAATAAAAATAATCGTAATCTGGTTTACATTGAGACGCCACTTCTGGTGAGGGAAGTTTGCAGGAGATCCTGCGACCCAGTTCTCGCAGCCAACTGTATACCCAAATCGCTTGAAGTTTTCGCATTCGAATGGGCCGGTGCATTCAGTGATGTCAAACTCGTTCATGACCTTGCACGTTCTCGATTCCAAGTTTCAGCATTAATCACTTGACAGCAATTGCTCAAGACTGACTTACGCAAAGCACACTCGCTGAGGCAGCTGCACCAAAGTTCATGCCCAGGTCGAACAGGGGCTGCGTTGCTCTCGTCCAGATTTTGTATCTACGAATGCGAGTCTTTGGGTCTGCAAAGTTAGTCCCGGCACGTGACTTCGCATGCCAAACAATCTCGTTGTGCAAGTAGAAAAGAGCAGCACCAGCCGTTGTCAAGTCCGCGTTCGCGCAACAGCTGTAATTCGCATCGCTGTGAACACGATATAGATGGAATGTCATCAGTGGAGCACTGCTTGCATTCACCAGCTTTTGGTTGGTCACGCGGTATTCTGCATGGTAGGGTGAGGGATACTCCGGTGGCGGAGGAGGAGGGGGCGGTGCGGGCGCTGGGGCTGTCAAACCATGGCAGTTGAACTGGTGGCCGTACTGCGTCTTGATACGCACTCCATTCCTGGGTTCTTGTTGAAGTACTCTTAAAAATGATCATGTTTAATCTATATTGGACCCAGGTATACACAAAAAATGAAAAACTTATTCAGCTTGAATCCAGATTCCGCTTCCAGCAGATCCACATGTACCAACCTCTGTCAATATGACACTTGCAGTCTCCTTCAGGGAGCAACAGCTGCAACATCTCCCAATATGGGCTATGTAGGGGTTATGAAGGGATAATGGAAAAGAAAATGGAGGATGCTACATCATATTAGGGTATATTGATTATACATATATATATATATGTGTGAGTAACGTTTGCGTTATATAAGGGTTATATAGGGACAATGGAAAAGAAAATGGAAGCTAATATCTTAAGATAGGGCATAGGTCTTGTTCGATGTCTTGAGGCTGGTCTACGATTCACCAACTTGCAAGTTTGGCCTCACTCCTTTTACGAAGCCGTACTTAAGCCAGCAGCTCTCTTGGCAGTAGCGGAAACTGGTGTTGGATCTATCTGCCAGAGCCAGGATCTCTGAAGAATCGGAGACACCTGGCAAAGACCATAGAGCAGGTGCACGCATGCACATGCATGCACCTTTGCAGACAACGCAGACAACCGCCAGCCTTGAACAGCTCGTCTTTGCAAAACTTGCAGGGCGCACTCTGTACCAGAGGCGCACTCGTCGTCTTCTGCAAGGGAGCTGGCCAGTGAGGCTGCAGGAAGGAGCAACGGGAGGAGCCAGAGAAAAGTGAGGCGCGTCATGGCTGAAATTTCTAGCGGAATGTGGCTGCCTAGAGCCCAATGTTTGCTCAGTTCTTTCTTCGCCTGTCTGATCTGTCTGATCTGCCTGTTTGTAGGTCTTCCAGGCCTGATTCCATGGGCTATGGCCTGGTGGCTCCGGGTTTATAACACTTTTTGCGGAAAAGTGAACCTGATAAGCCAAGAAGCACATCCAAAAACTTGTGCCATGTCATGAGAGCAGGCAGTTTGGCCAAGTTGCCTGGCATGAGCCTCAAGAGCTTCGCCCTGTCCTGTCCACTCGGACCACGCCGGCCTGATCCTGCCGAAAGCTCAACGGCCCTGCTCTGTGCCGTTAAGTTATGTATAAGGTCTATATAGGGGTTATATTAATATAGGGGAGATATGGGGATAATGGAAAAGAAAATGGAAACTACTATAATGGGTATAATATAACCCCAGTTTCCGTTTCATTTTCCATTTTCTTTTCCATTTCATTCTCCATTATTGGGGGAGAATATCCCTAAACCCTAAACCCTAAACCCTAAACCCTATACTATATATACCCATTATGGTAACTTAATTCAAGTTCCTTAACAGTATGTAGGGTCTATATAGGGGTAATTAGTCCAGGTCCTGATGCTTCTGGGGCTCTCTGCGCGGCCTCCAGAAAGCGCATGTCCAGGACCATCAGCGTAGAAAAACAGTAGTTTCCATGTTCTTTTCCACTATCCCTATATAACCCCAATAGACACCCTATTATAAGGATTATAATGTAACAGTTTCCATTTTCTTTTCCAAGCATTGCGCACGCTGAGGCGAGTACCTTCTTTTTCTGAGACCTTCGACCCGGGCGCGAACAAGCGGCATCCACGTGCGCAGTAGGCAAACCCAGATGTCTTTGTCATTGCGCCGCACCGGCTTTCTCAGCTGAAGACCGCTTGCCTCCAGAGCGTGGCAGGTTTCCTGTCATGGCGGATTACGAGTTAATCGCAAAAGCAAAGTGCCGAACTGTTGCACTAGCTCAAGACACGCTGGGTGAGTTCACTAGAGGCACCAGCGCCTGCAACATTGGCAGATGCCTGCAGCCGACGGAAAGGCAGGTCGGTCATGGGGTAAGGAATGCTCGTTTCCCGCCGTCGGCCTCCACAGCCCCGACCGTCGAAACTCGCTTTGTCAAAAGCCGGGGGGCCTGAGCACATCAAGCACGGGCACTCTTCACTACGTGGCGAGAGGATTCAGCTCGTGCTTGGGATGCGGCGGTTAAGATGCGGCGGCAGCACTCTGTCAGCATGTTCCAACCAGCTTCGAGGCACTGCATGAGTCCGATGTTGAGCTGCGCTTCACTTTGTTCCAATGCTGAACGCTCAAAATAAACCATCTGCATGGTCACCAACATTCCACTATGACTCCAGCTACTATGGCCTGCTTGTAGGGGGTAGCTTTGCTTTGTTGCTCGTTTGCGGCATGCTGCTGAGGTGTCGAAAAAATCAGTCTTGAGTTGCGCTGCGTGATGTTGGAATCTTCCAACTGGCTCAGAAAGCATTCACAGGGAAGCAGCACGGCAGCTGGCTCACCGACAACACGTTCATCTCACGGCCGCGGACCATGCCCTTCACGAAGCTCTTCATTTGCGACTGAATCTTTGCCACCTGGCACTTCACTCCCAAATCCTGTTGTGGCTGCCCACAATGACACGACCTCTCGCTGGTGAACTGGGATCTGGTCGTTGATGAACTCGCTGCCAATGCTGCTTGCACCTACTGGATCGGCAGATGCCCCAAAACCGAGTCCGTGTGCAGGAGCCTGAATATGCGCTCCTGGTGCTGTTCTTTTGCGTGCTGGCAGCGCTCGCCGTCTGGGCAAGTAAGTGGTTGGGAGCAAGTCTCAGAATTGGAGCAAACGACAGCATGTGGCCTCGAGGTTCCCAAGCTGGTCCACCACCTGTCACGGAAGCGTGGACTGTCACCTGTCTCGCCTGAACTGGACCTTTCTAAAGCACGCGTCACTTTTGCTCGCGATGCATCAAGAACTTCCCATCAGGACGTTCCATAATTAGTTAAAAACAGAGGTCTGGCTGCAGACTCGAGGTCAGTTGCAGGCATGCACCTTCTCATCCGCTGCGTGCTGGAGCATGCCTGAGGATGTTCTCCAGGCGTGTTACGAGCCGGTCGAGGCAGCGAATGCTGCCGTCACTTCCTTGACCCTGGATTCTCAAAGCACCATCAGCCCTGGGTCATCACCTTAAACATGCCACAGGTCGTCCACGTCCATCAGCTTCCATGCACAAGGCCGCGAGGACTCAAGTCCCTTGCTGGTTCAGCTGCTTCAGGCAGGCCTGCCAAGAATCATAAGGATCAGACCAGCCTGGTGCCTGCGTATACTGTGGTCTCCAGAGACCTATAAAAAATTGATATGTTGGAGATTTCCTTAGCGTTATACTATACTAAAAATCAAAAAAATGTGGAGACCACAGTACATGCAGTTGTGGCCTTCGAGCACCTACAACAGTCGAGACTTGGGGGGAGAAACAACTCTTGCGTTGCGGCCTCTGCAGCCTCCAGCGCGCCACCCGCAGCTTGCAGCTTGGCACCCAGCTCTTTGGATCTCCGACGCTGGGAAGCCTTCAGCTGCGGCCCCGAATTAAAGTGCTGGCTTGTTTCAACCGCAACAGCTGTTTGCCGCAAACGATGCTGTTGAAATTAACCAAACCCACAGCAAACAGCCTCGCTCAGAGCAACAAGCGGAGTATGGCTGCGCGGAATCAAACAGAAGAACACTCATGTATCCTCTTGCTACACAGAAGTTGTTACTTGTGCTCCGAACAAATTAGCCCAGCACCGCGCACTCTGAAAACATTGCGGCGTATGCAGCCTGTCACAGGGCCGGACACAAGGAATAATGTGTAGCTTGGGATGTCCCAACACCCGAAAACCCCAAATGGTAGTCTCCATGTTCTTGTCCAGTACCCCAATGTAATCCCCATACAATAACCCCTATACTAACCGTACAAGTATAAGCCCTGTATAATCCCTGTGGACCCCCCTACATAGACCCTACATAATATAGTAGTTTCCATTTTCGCATACGTCTGGCAGCTCTTGGAAGGCATTCGGATCATCCTGCTCTGCATGGAACCACATCCGAGATACCAATCTCAGCAAGTCTGACTATGGGACATTGTACAATAATATACGATATTCTAGTAAATTATGGTATATTCTAGTAAGATCATATACGCGATTTCAGTAGATTATAATATATTACAATATATTCTGGTGTAATATCGTACAGCTAGCAGCTGCAGCCAGATGCTCCCGTTTTGCAACTTCTACTATCTACAGGGGTCAGACAGCCCGAATGAAGGTTTGGATCACAAATCACCTGAGTAGCGTTTTTGTGGTTGAACCTAGTAAGACTGTATTCTTGATAAAAAATACTATACCCCAATAGGGGGATATTATCTTACTCTATATATTGGGCACCCTAGTATCCCCAAATAAGATACGACTCACCTGAGTCATGAATGCCCAGCAAAAATCCATCCATGTCAAGCTGTCCGGACACAGCCTCGCTAAGCCTGTCAAGCACTAGCTTAGGACCTGAAACAAGGAGCGGTATGAGTGCCGGAACCCGTTGGTGCATGTCGTGGAAGTCGGATGCTGAGCACTTTCTCTGTTGTGATTGTTCAGCATGAGCTTCAGAAAACAAAAGGTACAACAGGAGTGCAGCAGCAAACAAACTCGGCAAACTCTTGCAGTCTGGCTGAAGACCCGGAAGCTCATCCTGCTGGGACTGAATGAGGGCAAAATTTAGCCCGCCTTGCCCAGTGTCAGCTTTAACCTCTGAATAGGAGCTACAGTCTAAACTCCTAGTATCCCCCCGCATCTTGCGTCCATGCAGCAAGCCTTTTGTTTCTATGCGCTAAGACCTGCACAACCAATTTTCGCCAACAAAGCCTCAAGCAGAGTGGGCCCAGGATCCTTAATCTCTTCTACACTAGTCTCCTATAAGACCCCTTATATGGGTGGTTGTCTAAATTATGGTCCCTTTTTGGGTACCCTAGATATTAGGTGCCGCATTATAATAGGGACCCCAAAAAGGGACCATAATTTTGATAACCACCCATATAACTCCCTTTAAGGAGTTTAGACTATGGCTCATATGGCATGTCCACAATTTCCTGGCCTGGGCAATGGCCCCTGGCGAGGCGTCCATGGGCCGCCAAACGACCGTGCCAGCACCGCTGCCTGAACAAAAACTCAAACGCCCGAGAGTTTAGGGTTTAGTCCTTTTTTTATGAGCTCTTTCTTGGGTTTCGGGTTTAGGGTTTAGGGTTGACTAGCTGGCCTTTGGTTAGCTGGGAATGAAGGAATGGAAAAGGAAATGGAAACTACTATGATGGGTTGTATATTGGGGCTACTATAAGGATGTTTTCCTTCATTCCCTGCTAACCAAAGGCCTAATCCCTAAACTTTCAACCCCAAAGAAAAGCCAACCCCTAAATAGTAGTTTCCATTTTCTTTTCCATTATCCCAATATAACCCCAGTATATACCCTATAAAACCCATTATAGTAGTTTCCATTTTCTTTTCCATTATCCCAATATATCCCCTATATAACCCCGATATCCCAGAAAAGGGGCTGACTGAGAACAAAAATCACGTCAAGGTACGGTCAATGAGCTTCGCCATCTGGTAGTGTTCCTGAACACAAGCATGCCTATTTGGGAGTTTCCCTAAACAAGGGGATCCCAATATAGACCCCAAATACTATAATTCTTATGATGGGGACCCCCAAAATGGTACCCCTAATTTAGGAAAAACCGTGTTTCATCCATCAAGAGAGGATTGAAGGCGTGCTTCAGCTAAGAGTCGGAAGTGCAAGGGATGACAACCAGCGGCACCCCAGCCAGCAGGGCTTCCATGACGCTGTTCGAACCGCCATGGGTGATGAGCGCGCTTGCCCTGGACAATGCATCCATCTGCGCAATACCTTGAGTGTAGGAAACCTAACCCACAAGCACGTCAGCATTTCTGCTGCCAGTGCAAGAGCAGCCGGCTGCCAATCTTAAATTCGAACATGGCAAAGTGGCTGTTAAAGCACGAGTCAAGCTGCTTCGGCGTGCTATGAAGTTGCCCGGAATCTTCCCAAGTCCTTCAGCTGCATCGGGCTGTGGCCCAATTGCCAGGACTACGCGGACATCATTTCGGCCCCGGAAAAAGTCCACCAGCTCACGCCACACCCGGCGGCTGAAGTCGCCTTACTGGTGCTTAAGGGGGAGTGGATCCCTATATTAATCCCTATAAAATCCCCGTATATACCCCGGTACTGGCACCTACAACCCACACCCTAAGCCCTTTTAAGGCTACCTCTCTTCACTCCCCCACTCCCCCGCTACCCCTTAAAGCACCAGTAGGTCACGGCCCGTGAATGGAGCCGAGTCCGACTTCTGCAACACACTCCAGCCGTCCCCAACGATATGAGATCCCAGGCTGACGACCAGAATCCTGGGCTGTCGTGAAGAACTTACTGTTTAGGGTTTAGGTTTAGGGTTTAGGATAAAATCATTCACAATAATAGGGATATGTGGGAAATCATAGGGTTTCCTTGTTATAGTTACTTACTTTGTTCCTTAAGTTGAGCCACCGTAATCTGGGTATATAGCAAATCATAGGGTTTCCTTTTTTACAGTAACTTGATTTCAGTGCCGCAGCCCAGAATCTTCACTCCTCCAGGTAGGGGCATTCGCCAGGGACAATCAACTGCTGAAACGTCACTGGGCAAGCGGTGCAACTTGTTCCTGTAGTCTCCTTACACCTATAGTGAGAATAATATCTTTAAGAATTCCTTAGGAAAACTATAACAGAAACTAAAAACATTTCCTTAAATGACTACAGATTCTTTTCCCTCACAAAGATGCCGTTGATGTGGTATGCCTGGTTACCAGTGAAGCCCACCCAGGCAAATGGAAGCTCTTTCATCCACGGCTTCTGCAGGCTCTCTTGGGATTCTATATCAGGTATTGAGACAACAATGTTCAAACAGTGGCTGAAGTACCTGCATGGCAGGAACTCTTTCAGCACGTCTCTGCCAAAGTCTTCCTGGGCAATGGCATTTGCTCTCTGCACATTCTCGTGCTCTGCTACGAGGGCCGGCCAGGAACTACGTTCCTCCCCATGCTCTGAGAAGCAGGATGGGTAGCAGTCTAGCAGGAAGCATGGCACAAGTGCAATCGCGGGTATGCCGAGCTTTGCCGACACAAGGCATGGATGCAGATCTCCGATGCTGTACAGCACCAGCGTGGGCACCCAGGCACTCGGAGCTTCCCAGAGCTTCAGTAAACGTGCCGCCAAGCAAACTCCGGCAGGCAAAGCATAGAAATATCGCTCCAGCTCAATATGATTCTGCACCGCAGAAGGTAACGCCACCTCCTTAAACCATGTCTTAGCGTCTGCGGCCAACAAGTCAGGGCAACGTCCACAGAAGTCATCAAACAGCTCCACCACAGCCCCTGCGTGCCGGATGGCATCTTCGAAAGCGGGATCTGCGATGTAGTAGCGCACGTCGCACTTGCGCTGAACCAGTTCAGAGACCAGCGGTAGAAATCGGTTCACTGTCCCAACGGATGACGAGCTGAGCACAGCTACGCGAGGACATGCCATGAAGCCCACTCATCAGGTCAGCCTGCTAAGGCTGTTTGTGGGAATCTTGCTCAAGTGTGGATTGATGCACGAACTATGTAGTGAGCGGGACGCTCCGCATATGCAGGATAGGGTTGTGTACTTTGAGTGCTGGACGGAAAGGATGCACGCGGCAGGACAGGTACGTATCTTCATACAGCTGAGCTGACGAAGTTCCCATCACGGTGGAGTTCAGAGTCACTTCTGGCCTTCTTCGACAGCCGTGGCACCTCATGAAAGCCCTAAAGTCAAACATGCTTGAAGGAACGTCCTTTCCCCTGCAGTCTGCGTACTGTCTGAGCTAGGTGCTGATGCGGTGGCCGCGGTGGTGGTGCTGGAACCTGATACCCCGAGGCTAACCCTTCAGCAAGTCTCTGGAACATCAGGCAACCGAACCCTAGAACTTTTTGAATCCATGCATTTCATCGGCGAAAGGGCTGAGATCCACCCTTCTTGTTATGCGGTCTATGCTCTGAACTCTTTGCAGAGCAGACCGCGCTTCTGCTTCACCAGCCAAACCATGAAGATGAAGTTGCCTTCACAAAATGTGCTGGGTACAGGGTGTATGGACTCTATAGGGGGTTGAGGGGTGAGTCTGGAAAAAGGGAAGGCGTGCGGTCGTGGTTTTAAGACATCTCTGTAGCTGGCTTTCCCTGCATCCTGTCTTTCTACTTATCGCAAACTGATGGTTTTAACGTATGCTGTACCTGGCTTCCTTCTGTCATGTCTTTCTACTTATTGCACGGTGAAAAGGGGTGTTTTCAACATGTGTCCGTACCCGGCTTTCCTTCTCTCAGCTGTCTTTTCCTTATCTTTCTCAAGATGAATGAGTTGGCTTTGGCATATGTGCGCACCTGCCTTTCTTTCAATGGTCATGTCTTCCTACGTATCACAAGCTGAAAAGGGGCTGGCTTCAGCATACGTACTTACTTGGCTTTCCCTCTGTCATGTCTCTGAAATCGGTGTGGTGTTTAACGTGTCTGTACCTTGGTTTCCCCTCTGTTGTGTCCTTCTACTTGTCGCAACGTGATATCTGTACCTGGCTTTCCCATGTCTTCCTACTTATTGCAAGGTAAAAAGTGGTGTGGTTTTAATATATGTCTGTCGCTGGCTTTCACTCTGTCATGGAATTTTACTTATAGCAAAGTGAAAAAAGAGGTGGCTTTTGATGTATGTCTCTACCTTGGTTTTTCCTCCGTCATGTCCCTCTACTTATCGCAGGGTGAAAAGGGGGTCGTTTCAACATATGTCTGTGCCCGGTGTTCCCGCCTCTGTCACGTGCTACTAATCGCATCTTACCGCAAGGTGAAAAGGAGGCGGTGTTTAACTTACGTCCATCCCTGGCTTGCCTCTCTCAGCTGTCATTTCTTTTTGCTTCCCGCGAGGTGGAAAAGGGGATGGCTTTAACAAATGTCCGTACATACCTTTCTCCTGACTCGTAGGTTTTTCCTGACTCGTGCCTTTTGTTTTTCCTGACTCGCGGCCCTTTTCCTGACTCGTGCCTTTTCTTGTTCCTGACTCGTGCCTTTTCTTCTTCCTGACTGGTGCCTTTTCTTTTCCCTGAATTGTGCTTGTCTTTTTCGTGACTTGTGCCTCTTTTTCCTGATTCCTGCTTCGTTCCTTTATAGGACATTATGTGGGGCTGAAATGGAAAATCACATGGAAAATTAAATTCAAACTAGGTCTATATGGGCTATATATTAGGCTATTTCGGGACTTTATACAATTGCTAGCGGAAAATGCTAAAGCCTAAACACGGGAATCCCATCTGCAGAAATCCTTCAGCATCCGGCCTGAGATTTGAAGGCCTGAACCCGAACGGGTCTTGACGCACCTGCCAATACAGTTTCCACTGTGTGCTGCCCCCACCCAGTATCAGTCTATAAGAGGGGCTTATACTTCTGCAGCTGTTACTGAGTGGGGGGGCAGTACCCAGCCAATACAGTTTCCATTTCATTGCCCATTGTCTTTTCTATTTGATTCTCCATCATTGGGGGATAACATCCCCAACTTGTTCGTAAATAAGCTCCATATTATAACCCTAGTGTCCATGTAATTCTCCATCTGATTTTCCTTTCATTTTCTAAATTCTCGCCTATATAACCCCCGATTTAGTATAAGCCCTATATGACCCTTCTTTCCATGTTATTTTCACCTTGGTTTCCGTTTGATTCCCCAAAACGGCTGAGCTTGACTCGCTACAGGTGGCTCCCGCCTCCCGTGTGGGGATAAACCCCCACTTGCCCTTGCAAAGCCTCAGTGAAAGTAGGAATAGTGGGAATAACAGTAAGAAGAATAGTAATATGTAGTAATAGTAAAAAAGGTAGTAGTACTAATACTTGTAGCTGTAACAACAACAATATTTTTTCTGACATGCGTGAGCTCCTAAAACCAGGCAAGAAGCATGCAAATAGAGTGCTTCCAGTCCCACAGCGGAGCCTTTTGAAACAATAACGGGAATCACGCTGGGAGCGAGACTGCTTTGGCTGAATCCACGTCCACGAACGTGACCTGGAGCCAAAGTGCATGACTGAATCCAGGTGTTGAGGTCACTTTCTGCATGGAAGCAAACGCCAAACCGCAAATGCACGTTGGGCCCTTGGCGAGATAATTCGAGTCAGTGCCCGTAACGGTCTTGTCCAACCTGCGAGAGCCGTTACTGCAACGAGCACCAGTCGCGCACTGACACCATCTGTCGACAACAAGGGACTGTGTCGTGTCTCGCTGGCGTGCGCAAGCTGCAAATGATTGACCCCCACATGCTATATGGGGCATTGCAAGGCGATAGGTGTACTTTTTAGCTCGATTCTTGACGCTTCCCGCACGCTTTGGCCAGGTCCTCCCTTGAACTTTGGACACCACACAAGCACCCGCGAGGAACAAAAGCGCTGGGCGCTCCTAGAGATGTCTTGAACCTCCTGGCAGCCTCAGCCTTCCCCTTTAACACTACATAAACCGATGTGTATATGTATTCATGTATGTATGTATGTATGTATGTATGCATGCATGTACAAATGTGTGTATGTACGTACTCATATATATATGTATATATCTACATATATGTCAACTCATATATCCACATAGACATGTATACATTATATTTATATATGGTATTTTCCCAAAATACAGGGACCCCAATATAGACCCCAAAATACTATAATCCTTTTTATGGGAACCCCCAAAATGGTACCCCTAATTTTGGGAAACCCATATATATATATAAACCTTAAAACCTAAACCCTAAACCCTGAACCCTAAACCCTGTATTTATATATATATATATCTCCCCCAGCTCAGCTCAGCAGGGCTTGGAGGAGGCAGCAGCAACACAAGATGGCGCTGGAGATGGCCAGGGCCCGGTAGATCCTTGGCTTGTTCAAAACACACAGGTTTGGGGTTCATATTGGGGTTACATTGGGGTTATATTGGGATAATGGAATATAAAAATGGAACTACTATTTAGGGTTTAGGGTTTTCACGCTTCAGCTGACCAAGGACAAGCCCAAAAAAACAATCTTCTGCTTGCTGGTGGCTGGTGAGGCTAGTGCACTACTTCCATGGTTGCATTCCTCTCTTGCCTAGAAATCGACCGTAATCCGCTGCATAATTCAGTTCTCGTTTAACTTTCCATGTGATGTTCCATTTGATTCTGGATTCCCTTCTTGTGGGGGACTATCATAGAGATCCATCCGTACGAATCTGAGAGCTTAATCTGGTCGATCGTCCAGCGAAAGCTGCTCTAAACGGACCGTAACGATACAGAGGGACTATGCGGGACCCTAGAGAGGATTGTAGCATGGCAAGGCGCACTTCAATTCCAACATGTCCAAACACACCCAGGACACATCATTAAAAAGAATAGTAGTAGTGATGATAGAAATAATAGTAATTACATTAATAGAAATGAATAATGATAGCGGCTGTCATCCTAGAAAGATGTTTGGACCGGACGGGCACAACGATTCTTTTCAGAGTTGTTGTGCGCAAAATCTGCATAATTCTCCTCATAGCACAGAACGGGCACCCCAAAACAAAGCACAAATGCAACATGTGTCTCTTAGTTGTGTTTTTCAGTGCATCCATTTCATCCCCATACAACACCTGCAAACCTTCATCATCACCAAATGTACGTCAAACCTCCTGTCTGACCAGACTATGCGCGGCAGAACGGCTCGGCCGAGGGTCTTTTTCGAGGCTGTTTGAAACGCCTCTTCCTCTTCCGTCATGAGGCTGATCTGCAAAGGCGTCCAAGCCACAAACACGCAACCCGGCATCAAAACCTTCAATCCCGCAAACCCGAGGCCGGAAACCTCATGCACTCATTCGCACACAATCCAACCTTCATCTGGCGTGCCATTTCCAACGTCTTGTTGCTCTCTGCTGCACAGATGCAGTTGTACTTGTAGTACGTGGCCACGGCCTTGTTTTGCAACACAATCTGAACATCAAAAAACCTCAGAAGGCTATCATGGATACTAAATGTCCTGCATGACCCCAAGTACCTTATACCTTGGGAATTATGGTGCCATAGGGAACTAAGGCCACGCAGGATTCTTAGTATCAACAGTAGCAAGCTGTGCCGGCGCACAGCATACCAGCTCCCCTTCTGCGCTCATTGCTCCAGTTCTCTGCCTTGCCTACATGGTAGTTTCCCAAAATTTAGGGTACCTTTTTGGGGGTACTCATGACAAGGATTATAACCTTTTTCGGTCTATGTTGGGGTCCCCTACTTTTGGGAAACTACCACATGCAGCTAGAACAAGACTGGATCATGGTCAGACCTGCACTATCGTAGACCTCTGACTCCATTTCACGCCTTCAGCCCGTGAGCTAATCGTATTCGCCTTCGTTCTTTAGCTTCACACCAGGAACCTGAACCGCAAACCCTAAACCTTTGCAAGCTGCTTCCCATCTGAACAACACAGCAAGATACTTGGAGCGGGCTCATCGCACATCTGCCCTAGTTTCAAAAAATGCTGGTCAGCGGACAAGTCTGTTGTGGATGCCACTGCTTGACCATGCTTGACGCTTGTTTGCGCACATCTGGGTTGGTTTCAGAAGCGAAGGATTCTAGGCTTGCACGGTCGTAGCGCGCTTACATCAGATCTCGAGCTCTAGAAGCCCAAAAGGGGGCTTCCCAAAGCTAGGGGTACCTTTGGGGCGGGTGCCCCTAATAAGGATCTTAGTATTTTGGGGTCTATAGCGGCGTCCCCGTGTGTATGCGAACTATGATATAACCTGCACATAATCGCGGTGTCCATCTGCGATGCAAGTCCCTGAAACCTGTCCTAAGCATCAGCTTGGGGCAGGTTTCAGGGACTTGCACCGCAGAGGTAGGATGGTTGAGGGGTTAGGCTTTCAGGCCCTGCATCATGGCCATAGTGCAGAAGTCACTTCTGCAAGGGGCGCTCAAAAGCCATGCCACATTGCAAGCGCACCTTGTTTTGCCAAGAACCAGGAGCCACTGCAGCTGCACAGGCATCAGACATACGCGTCTGGGTTCAAGCTTCAAACAGGCTTCCTAGCCCTCAGATCAAGCAACTCCATGCACATTCACACTGCTACCAATCTCTTGTTGATCTGAGAGCCGCCCACGCTTGGAAGCCGCTTCACGAAAAACAACTCCACTGGAGACTTGCTCTCGCAGTTCCCTACTCCGTCCCCCTTTCGTGAGACCATCAGCAATCTGATGACGGGTAGGAACCCACAACAGCCAAGTCTTGCACTGCGTTCTTCGCGTGCTAAGCATTTGCCGAAGCAGAACCGCATGGATCACACTTGCTTGATCGGTGATATGCTGCCCGTCTTTATGAACCGTGTCATAGATAGACTTACAATCGGTAACTAACACCATCTGCACCAGATCATTCCAGCCATCATCTTCAACGCTACCAACAACCTCAGAACCAAACCTAAGTTCACTCGCCAACACCTGACAGAAGTGGCCCATGCCGAGGCCCATCAATGCTGCGTGCGTTTCGGCAGCGAAACTGGATTCCACCACTCTCTTATTAGTGCTGCTTCTCCAGTCCAAGATATTAACATGATTAGGGGTACTCTTGATTTCAGTCGACCCTCGTTTAACGAAGCCGATGACAGCACCCTTTTGAGAGTACACAAGACGTTTGTCAAAAGAAGATTGCAGAACATCACTCGCCTCTTGCTCTGAGATCTCCACCCCTACACTCGAATATAACCCCGCATCCGAGTATACTACCAAATGAGCATCTCGACCCAGGTCCTCGAAGACGATCTGCATTCTGTGCCGTTTAGCCTCCTTCACGGCTCTGTTGGCCCTAATCAAGTCTCCGACTCGCAAATCAGCAACGCGCTTTTGAAGTTGATTAGTTTCAAAGGCAAGGTCCGGCCGAGACTGTGTCGCCAACCACTGCAAACTTCCTACCACGGAACGATAGTTACCACGTTCCTCCTCCGTGGCATACAGCTCGGGGCTCCGGCGCCGTTCTCTTGTCACCTCCATTTCCTCAAGGCGCCCATCAATGAACCCATCTTGTGATAAAACAATCCGTTCTTTCCCGTTTTCATTTTGCAGGCGGATTTCCTTCCCGCAGTACGTAACCCCACAAGGTTTGTCAGCAACACGATCCCATGTACCAAAAGGAAACCTCTTAGCCAAGTCTTTAGCCGTTTTCTTCGCTAACACAGAACCGTCATGACAAAACATCAGGTCGTCAACATGAACCACCATAACCCCCAGCAGACAACCCTGAGGATCACGGAGCATGAAAACGGCAGGGTCTATGTACGACTTGCAGAAACCAAGCTCACCTGTAAGGACCCTAGCCAGCTCTTCATACCAAGCCCGGGGAGCGTCAGGCCTTCCGTAGACGGGTTTGAGCAATCTGAGGATTTGGTTTGGCTTAACCCCCTCGAGTCCTTGCTTGGGCGGTTTCATATACATGGGCTGCTTCCCTATGAGCGGAGCTCCCTGAAGAAAGGCGTTGCTAATATCCCCTATGAACCAGTTCTGCGTCCACCCATAACTGACAGCCATGTGTAAGAACAGCATCGTCGAAACTCTCTCGACGGTGGGAGAGTCTACCTGGACCTGCCCGGTTTGGGCATCGGGGCATAAATGCCCCTGAAGACACAGCCGGGCCTTGGCCCGAGTTGGGAGAGGCTTCCCCTGATCATCAACTAACCCAGCGTTCTTATTCCTATACACATACCTACTCGGAAGAACTCTATTGGGGCATTCTCGCATGATTCTCGCGCTATCTTCTTCGCTCAGAATTTCACAACTATCATACTGCTTCCAACTAGTCCATTCCTTTTCCTGGGCTTCGCGATACAAGTCTCGCTCTTGTTCAGGGATCTTTTCATACGGGATCTCCTTATCCATCATGCGCTTCAACTTGTTTTTACTCATCATTTTCCCTTGACTAACAGCATGAACCGGTTGGGCTTCGCCAGCTTGACTCTTCAACTTTTTCATACTCAGGGGAACATCTTCAAGGCACATCTCCCGTTTCGTTCTACTTTGGAACAAAGTGACAAGCAGTTCAGCAGGAGCTTCCATTAGATAGCTGTTTGGGTTATCGAGGGCGTGCCACCTAACTTCTTTCTCCAAACACTTCCAAACCCCATCGAACCTAGCCCAAGTGGTGCGAAAAGGGTACTGCTGAATGTCGAGTCTAGCTTCGGGGGTACGGTAAGCCCAAGCTTTCTGACTAACAAGCACAGGATTTCCGGCCTCATCCCTTTGCCAACCCTGGGTCCCCACTAGCTTAGCCAAACTGTTCGGAAGATCAGTGATTCCCTCTTGACTATCCCCCACTTCATTAGCCAGCTCCTGCATCAAAGGCTGCTGCTCAACCTCCAAAGGCTCCTCTGTAGGATCAGTCTGCTGAGTCAAATCTTCGAAAGTAACCTCCTTAGGGACCTTCCTAAACAGAGCTATCGCCTTTTGAATTTGAGGGTCTCCGAAATGCCTCTCATCCCCACAAGCCTCACGCAAGTGTTCACCCGCAACAAGAAAACACCTGCCTCCAACAGCAACCCAAGCGTTACCACCCTGGATCCCAACAACGTAACCCGGTCCAACCCATTTACTAGGTTCCTTCTTCCTTTCACTCCTCCAAAAGAAAACCATTTGCCCGATTCTAGGGTTAGTAATCTTTCGAACCCGATTATGAGCAGTACGAGCCAGCATTTGTCTAGCTTGGGACTTGACATACTCCATTTTGGCGTGGCAACGGTACTGCATCCGTCTGGCAACCTCACTACCGGGATCACCAACTTGGGGATGAAAAGCGTTAGCTGCTCCCTCTTGGTGGAGCTCTCCGAACACCCTCGGCTCTTTGCCAAAAACAAGTGCCACAGGTGCCCAACCATGCTCCCTTGCAAGAGTATTCTTGGACCAAGCAACTTCCCGCGCAACACCTCGCATATGGTCTCTCCCTTTGGGACTAGTCTGGCGGACAACAGTTCTCAACATGTCCTTAATAGTCTGATTATGCCTTTCGATCTTCCCCGCTTGCCAGTGCGCAGTCCCGGCGATTGAGATCAAAGCAGAGCCAGCTTCAGACACTTTTGTCCAAAACTCTTTCCCACGAAAACCTCCTTCAAAATCGACACTGACCTGGAGAGGAGGCCCAGCCCATTTGGCCCAAGCTCGGTCAAAAGCTTTATTCAACTCAACAGGGCTATGGTCACGCAAAAGCTCAAGCACATGATAGCTCGTAGCCCGGTCAATAATGGACAGGAACCAGTGACTTTCCCCTCCAGCATCATGCACGCAAATGCAATCCAAATGGACCTCATCTCCAAAGGTGACAGAACAAGGAGGTATGCTAGTAGCCCGATGGGTCTTAGGCCTACTGGAATGAGCGCAGGACAGACAACGCATCCACTCAACAGCTTCAACAACTTCTTGCTTGGCACCGCCCAAACGTAGAAAACGTTGCAGATCCTTTTTACTAGAGTGACCCAAGTTACAATGAGCCTTCTTCAGCCCTTCCTTAATTTCAGTACTCAATTTCCGACCCTGAGGAACTTCGAACCGTACACCGTCATGCGCCAAGGAGCTTCTCAAAGAAGAGCTTGACACTGGTTCGCCAGCGTCTTGGATCATCTCCTCATCGCCATCTGAGTCCTCCAGGGGGGAGGTCATGGGAGCATCTGGTTGTGGGGCCTCATCGCGGGACCCCACAGCAAACACGGCACTCCACCTAGCAAGGGCTTTAGCTATATTCTTTTCGTTCCATCTGAGATCACGGACAAGCTCTTGCTGGTCACTCCTTCTAATGCGTGCCGCAACTTGCCTAAGCATGCGTCTTATCCTGCTGGGCTCTTTACGACGAAGTGTTTTAACGTATCCCTTGCAAACTGCGGCTGCAACTTTGCGAGAACCCCTGTCGGGCCCTCCCTCAGCAGCTGAGCACCTCAAGGCAATCTCTTCACAGACCTCCACAGATGTACTCATCCACAAAGAGGAGCGGGACACACTTGGGTTGGATTTGCACTCTTTCTCAAGTCCATGGGAACACGCCACTACAGCGGTATAAACCTCAGGATGATTAATGATTCTACCCATACACCTCTCTCTGAAAGAATGCTCCCCGACAGGGCTCTCAGCAAGGGCATCGTCTCCTCGGCGGATTTGTGTCTCAAAGACTTTCTCAACAAAGGACACAAAACCCTCGTACTTAAGACACTTCTTCCGGGTCCTACGTCTCTCCTGAGAAGACCCCGCATTGGCTTCAGCAAAAGAATCCCATATCCTTCGAGGACACGTCAAAACAACCAGTCGAGGTTGACAGCGATCAACCCACTCAAGTAACCGGCCCTGGCCATCAGCATCACACAGAACATCATCAGACCCTAAGCCCACAGGACGGGCAGCATTCCATCCCCAACGAGTAAACTTCTGGGTGACTTGCGCTTCTGCCCCAAAAATCTCCAATAAATCAGGCCTCACTAAGGAGCCTTGGGGAATGGTTTGCATTGCCATTCCAACAGCAGCACATGATGCAATAAGCACACTTGCTGCAGCTGCCTTCATGTTCCCAAGAAGTCGCTTGACAGTGCCCCGCCTAGCAGCCCTACGACGCTCAGCACCCTCAAGAATGCATTCACGAATCTGTTTGGGACTTCTTGGGGACACTAAAGGCTTACAACTCTTACAACTCTCAGCGTTGCCATCCTGAGTCAGCTCACTCTGCGACATTCGTCCTGCCGTGGCCTGTGCCTCAGAGGGGTTTGTCACTTCTCCTCGCTGCCCTTGGCCCGTCTCATGTCCTGGATGATCTTCATCTCCTCGGGAGTGAGGTTGGTGTTGTAAATGGCCGGATCCTTCTCTGTGTCTGTGCTCTCCTCGATCGGCACTCTTCCCGTTCTCACCCAAGACCCACCCGACGATGTGTCTCGTGGCTCGTCCGAGCTCTCTGGCAGTGGACGAGATCCGACCAGTGCGCTTGGGACCGCCCTTCCAACCATCGCCCTTCACGCTCTTCTTGGTCTCTGTTTCTTTGGCGTCCTTCTTCTGCGCAAACATCTGGTCCTGGACTTCCTTGGTTGGACGGCCACCGTAAGTCATGGGAAGGGTCTGAGTGCATAGAGGATAACGGACGCATCCGTAAAAATCCTCCTTTGTGAGGCGGTTTGTCCTCACCAAGAGCGGTATCTGGCACTTTGGGCACATCGGAGAGTCCGAGTAGACATCCTCTGGAGGCTGATCGCCCATCACCTCGGTCACCCACATCTCTATCTCCGTGACGAGTTGTGGCCGGTTCCACCGCGCCCAGTGTCTGTCGATTGCCCTTCCCAGGTCCGGACACACTTCCTTCTCGTAGATCTCTTTCAAGGCCGCCACATCGAACTTCTTCCACCCCACGGGGAGTGGTGACTGGGGCTTCTTGGGCTTGACCATGCTCCAGATCAACTTGAGCCGTTCCACATCGTGTTTTCGAACCTCCTCCATCGCCAAGTTTGTCCGCACATGGATTGCGTGCACATACTCTTCCTTGCGCTTCGGCGTGATGAACTTGCTGGCCATCACGACCACTTTCACCTTCTCCCTGCGGATCCGAATGCCTCACCCTAGCACTGTCTGGCTGAGCCACAGGTCTGCCGACTACATCTTGCGGAGTTTTCAAACATGGGCTTTGCACTCCATCCCTGATTTCAAGTGGCTCCTGGTGTGGGGATGAAGCAGCACAAACCGAACTACTATTCCCAAAGGTCCTGGTCTCCGGGACTATGTTCAGCGGGAATCCCAAGGTCTCCAGGGACATCTTCATGGCGCCGTCCATCTTGTTGACTGATCTTGCCGTATAGCATGACAGACACCATCTCGTCCCTGTCCAAGGCTGAGTCGCATGCTTCTTCTTGGGATCTGAGACGAACGGCTTATGCCTGGTGTCCACGTTCACACCTGGCGTTTTCCTTCCGCTCACCCACTTCTTCGCAGGCGCGCCTGAACTTGAAGCATCCGAACCTGCCACCCGCAACTGACCGCCCTCAAACTGGCCAAACGTCACGGTTGCAGTAAGAGAGTCCGTAGCATTATGGGCATCTGTGTGGACGTTGGTCATGACATTCTTCAACACAACTATCGAAGTCCAAGAAAGACCAACTTTGTCGCGCATGAACATGTTGATATACTTGGTTGTGCGTGGAAACTTCTGGGCCGTCTTAGCTACCCCGAAGAAGCCCCCATGAGCCCAGAGTCCGGCCATCATCCCGCGTCTCCGCTTCCGGGCTCCTCCATTAATGCCTCTCTGGCGGTTCGGATTCACATCGGGCAGATGTTCGACCACTTCAAGGATTGCTTCATACGAAAAATTCTTTTCTTCGAGGAACTTCTGAGCAAGGACTTCACAAACCAGTTCGGATGGGGTTTCGGGCGTTCCTACATCAGGACAAAGATGCACTTCACTGGTTTCTCCTTCAATGTCTTCAAGGAAACTGCCCACAGAGAGCTCCGTCTCTCCATCCAACATGGCCTGTGGGGCAAAATCCAAGCGACCGGTATATAGGTTGTCGTGTTTGTTGATTTCGAAACCACACAACCCGGACTGAGTCTCAACCAACTCCACCTCTGTCTCAAGCCCCACAAATTCGAGTCGGGCACGCCCCAAGTCCAGTCTAGCACCCAGAGCCTTCAGCGCGCTTTTGCTGAGGAGCAGAGGCACATCCTGGTCGACTACACTCACTCTCAACCATGGAACGGCGCATCCTCCTCCAATGTGTAGCGGAAAGACAATGCTGTATCTCGAAGCAATCCGGGGCCCTGCACCAAATCGAAAAGGTCGAGCCTCGTCCACCACATACACATCTACACCGGCTTGATGTAAGTGCGTCATGTGGGCTTTGGCCCATTTTTCCCCAACCACAGATCTAGCGCAGCACGTGTCCGACAAAGCTAGCAGGAAGTCATGCTCATGCCCAGAGTCTGATATAGCGCTGGCACACCAGTACTCGCCTTGGGCCCCCCAGTGTTCGCTGCTGCTTGCCAAGAAAACATTGGCTGTAGGTGGCATGTACTCTTCATCTGAGTCGGAGAGCTCGGCCTCCACCACTGCCATAACGTTTCCTGCGCTAGCGCCAGCCGCTTTCTTATTGTAGGGACATTCTGCATCCCCATGCCAGTGGCCATACACGGTTTTCCCATTGGCCTTGCATGCAGAACAGGGCATCTTCTGCTTCAGCTCTGCAATCCTTTTTGCCCTGGCATCTGCAGACTCGCCTTTTCCTCCTCCTTTACCGCTGTTTCCTCCAGCAGTTAAAACCACGAGCTTTCTCCACCTGAGCGCGCTTCTTGGCCGCTTGAGTCAGCAGCACCTGCAGCTCTTCTTCCAGAAGCTCGGGGACCATGTCCTCTGAAACCGTAGCATTGTCGTACTCGGCCTCTTCGCCCTCCTCATCTTGAGTGGTAGCGTGGACCTTAGCCGCCTTCCGCCACTGACGGTTTCCAGAGCTGCCGTGTTGCTGGCTGTTGCCATGTGACTCTTCCTCTTTGTTCACCTGAGGTACAATTGCCATGACAGCAGTCCGGAGCTTGGCATAATCACACTGGCCTCCTGCAGCAGCTACGACCTGCTTCCTCAACTCTGGTGACAGGCCCGCCTTTTCCAGGAACCAATACGCCCGGGTCACCCCGGATATCCCAGCTCCGATCTCCTCCAGCCTTTGACCATGGCGTCTAAATTCCATGTCATAAGCGACGAACTCTTGCCCTTTCGCCCTACGAAAGCCCTTGTAGAAGTCCGCCAAAGTCTGGAAGGTCCTCAAAAACTCAAGCGGTTCTAACTCTTTCCACAGATGATCCAACAGTCGCGAAACCCCCTCAGGGTGTTTGAGAGATTCAAGTGGAATAGACTCAGTTGCTAGCCAGGCGTTCCCTGTAAGCTTTTCCATAAGCTTCTGGGCACGATAGCTAGGATCTATCCCAGTACTCATCTCAAACAGCTTGACCCGTCGTTGGTACTCACGCATGGGACCGCTGCCATCATATTCAGGAATGAAGTCTTTGCCTGCTCTAGGCGCCGACGCCTTGCTCGACGATCTTTCTTCGTCTTCCAGAGAAGCAGTTCCTTCCCCGCCTCCCCACACATCATCTTCCATTGTCGAAGCTGATTGCCTGCGAGTGGCATCGCCTGATGCCTCTTCTTCCCCACCGCCTCCAGAGTTACTAGCATAACCTCCAGACCATGATTGCTGCGTACCAGACTTTTGCTGATCTGATGAATCATTTCCCCAAACGGTGGGTTTCCACTGTGCACTGCTCCAGCCCGGAGCCCAACTCCAAGACCAGTTGTCAAAACTAGCCCCTTGCCAAGGGTTGCCTGCATAGGCCCCCCACGCATTGCTTTGCTGCCACTGCCAGGGCCGCCATCCCCAGCTCGCTGACCCCGAAGGATGCCAAGAAGCCTGCTCTGCCTGCTCCTGCCGTGGAGCCTCTGCTGTAGCCTCGGCCGCCGCTGAAGTCCCGTTTTCAGCCGCCATGGAGCCCTGCTCCGCTCCCAATGCAGAAGTCACTTCTGCAAGGGGCGCTCAAAAGCCATGCCACATTGCAAGCGCACCTTGTTTTGCCAAGAACCAGGAGCCACTGCAGCTGCACAGGCATCAGACATACGCGTCTGGGTTCAAGCTTCAAACAGGCTTCCTAGCCCTCAGATCAAGCAACTCCATGCACATTCACACATAGGACACACGTCATTAGGAGCCACAAGAACCGGCATGAAGACGGATACCAGATTGATGCCGACGTTACCATTTTGTAGCCCTACCCTATCGTTATAGGGATCTATATCCCATGAAACCCAAATTTACATTTAATTGTTCACCTCATTTTCCATCTCCTGCTCCAACCAGCCAAGCAGCCAAAACTGCTGTCACCCCACCGGCAGCCAGCGCAGCCTGTCTAAACACAACCTTAGTACAACAGCGGTACTCTGGGGCCGGGGAGACCCCATGGATGTATTGGGGTTACATAAAAATTGAGGGCATGGGGCCCAGTAGCGGGCTATATAGGGTTCTATAGGGAGCTATATGGATATCTCCTGCCCACCCCATGCCCCATGGTATGGTCCCTGAGGAACCCCTCAGTCTCCCTTGTGGATGTTGGGGGCGGATTTACATGTACGAGATGAGGTCTTCATAAGCATCCTCCCCCTCCCTCTGTGGGTGACATGTCTTGTGAAATCAATGAATATTTACAAGTTTATGTGGTATGGGGATGAGGTAAGGTCGGACTTATGAGGGGGACTATCATGAAGGAACATGTGGTTGAAATCTGAGACGGGTTGTAGAAGCAATTCCAGGCTCTTTGTAGAATTTGGAAACATTCAGTGAGCGCAACCTGTCCCATCCCTGAGACTCGTTGGCATGGTTGAGATCATGCAGACAAAGTCAGAAGCAAAGAGCGATAACATTCAAGAAGATGATGCCTCCCAGGCGTCCGATGACCGTGACTGTTCGACTGTTGCCACTTTTGAAGGAGATTCCGTGCTCGCCACGCCCGCCCCCTGGGACCATACGAACTATAGTCTTAACTCCTACTTGTAGTATCCCCCTTGACCCCTATAGTAATCCCCGATAGATTTCTTTATATAACCCCCTTTCAGGAGTTGAGATTATGGCTCATACCATGGAGGGCAGGCCAGGAACGCCAGGCAAGGAGTCCCTGTCCGGGATGACACGTACAACATGCTGCTGTAAAATCCCGTTCAGAAGAACATAAACTAGGTTGCTGTTAAGGGGAAATACTGAGGCCTCCTTAGTGTAGCATTTTACGAGGAATTCCTTACCAGCAACCCTAAGAGGATCATGGTCTGCACGACAAGAGGCCAGAAGAGCAGCGCAGAGCAGGCTTGCAGCTGCTGCAGCCCGACTTCCCTTTGCCTCATCTGGAAGCTTTCTACAATTTAGGGTTCCCTTTTTGGGAGGTCCCTGTAATCAGGACTATGGAGTCGTACAGTTGCAACATATCGTGGTCCAATTACGGTCCCTTATCGGCAGAAACTACCATCTGCTCTATTCCTTGAAGAATGCTGCCCTGGCGCGAGTCCAAATGCGCCGGCACATACTACAGCTAAAGCCTCCGCGATGAGGCAGCTGGGCAGATAGGACTCCACAGACATGGCTCGATTTGACAGGTTGTGTAATGTTTCGCGGATATATCAGGATGGTGTCGGGACAGAGCATGTAAATGGTTGTATCAGTGTGTATATATATATATGTGTATATGTATACATGGCATGTGTAAGATATGTACATATACATATATATATATATATGTAGGACATGTAGCGTTCTTACCCAGCCGGCTGTTTAATGGTTGCCTCAACTCTTCTTGTTGAGCTTGCCAACTGAAACGCATCCCACGCTGACTCGGCGCGATGTTTTACCACTCATTCACGTCCAACAGCCACATGCACTTTGGTCTCATAGATGCCTCTCTGAACCAAAAATGCGGGGTTTGGCCAGTCTTTTGACATACCTCCCTAAACCTTATATAGGGATTGTATTATCATTATTATTATTACGAATATTAAGGTTATATGGGGGTATAGGGGGATACTGGAAAATGAAATGGAAACTACTGATATGCACAATGCAAAGCTCTCGCAGCCCAGCCTTGAGACGCGCACAACTGGTGCATACCTCGGTTCACTCGAAAATGGACCAACATGCTCATCGAACCGAAGGTCTTGCCGCACCAGCTGCAGACGAGTGTCCACGAGAAGTGAGCACCCACCTCCAGGGACGTGGCCTCTTCAGTTTTTCCCGCTGCATGTCAGAACATCTGATGGCAAAGCGCACTTGTTCAAAATGACAGTCTTTTGCGAGAGCAACAATCCGTCCGTTGCATCTAGATGTCTGCTACATGTCCTGTAAGGCCCGAACCGCAAATGGCAAGTTTGCACAGATTATGGTGGCGTCCTCCTCGAGGCCTTCTAGCTTCAGGGGCGCATTTTCAAGAGCCTCTTCATCAGCAGCAAATGCACACACCTGGAGGCAGCGTTTTCGCCACATCTGCAGACACCTGGCGAATGCCAGGCCCGTATCTAGACCCCAAAATACTCTCATCCTTATTATAATAGGGACCCCCAAGAAGGTACCCCTAATTTTGGGAAACCTCCTAGTATTGGCAGAAAAACACTCAAGATCTGAGCAGGTAGCAACCTACCTCGCACCGCGAGTACTAGTTTGTACAACACGAGTGCTTCGCAATATTCCCTATATTATCCCTTCTGGCACCCTGCAATATATAACCCTATATAATATAACTCTATAAAATCCTGTTTAACCTTACATAAGCCTAACTCTAAACCCTAAGCCCTACTCTAAACCCTACGCCTAAACCCTAAACCTAACCTAGGGCCAAGACTGAGGGTCCCACAACAGCTGCCAGAACTCGGTCTGCTTCAGCCTCGGCATCGCCTGGCCAAGATCGATTTAAGGTTATTGAGGCTTGGGGTTTAGGTATGTGTTTTAGGGATCAGGGTTCAGGGTTTAGGTTTCAAGTTGGTTAATTTTTCGCACCTGTTGTGTTTAGGGACTACGGTTTGGGGTTTAGGGTTCAGGGATGTTTAGGGAGTAGGGTTTAGATGGGTTTAGTGGGGTTGGGGGATCATATAGTGGATACTACTATAGTACATTGGGGATCATTCGGGTATGTATTAGGATATTGTAATAGAGATACTACCCCAATCATGGAAGATCAAATGACAAAGAGCATGGACAACTAAGTGGACACTGGGCTATGTATGGGTTTTATGATAGTTTGCAGAAACAGGGGCCCCAACATAGACCCCCCCAAGGTACTCTAATCCTTCTTCTGGGGACACCCAAGAAGGGGAACTCTAATTTTTGGAATCCCGAATCCCTACAAACCACTCTATAAACAAAGTTTCCATTGCATTTTTGCAGCTTCTTTTCCATTTGATTCTCCATTATCGCTGATGATATTATAATATTCCCATAAAACCTCTGTAATATCCCCATACTATAGGAGTTCTCCTTGTCGGCCCTTTTGCTCTGCAGACGTCATCGCACTGTCCAATGTGTGCCGACATCCTGGGAAGCCTTTGGAGTCTATGCACATGTGATACACACAGCCAGTTTTGCTGGTCAGCCAATCGAATTAGGCAGAAGCCACCGCAGAGATGAGGGCAGCAGTAGCAGTAGTAGCAGGTAGTAATAATACTACTAATAATAATAATCGTGATAGTGGTTGTTGTAGTGGTAGTGCTAGTAGAATGTATGTTAGATCTGGTCTTTCCAAGCTTTTGGTGGATGACCAAGCGGTCTCTCTTGCGCACTTCAGCATCGCACGGTCAGCCAGGGCTCCACTTTGGGTCTGGCAAGAAGCTACGACGACATAACCCTGAAACCTTAACCCTACACAAGATATAGTAGTTTCCATTCTATTTTCCCTTATCCCCATATAAGCTGGATATACCCCATGTTACCTTGGTAGAACCCTACGTAATACATGATGGTCACATGGACCAAATGTCTCGAAAGGTTTCCGGAATTCGGCGCCACGCCATGGCCTTGCATCTTATGGGGGTTTAGGGTTTAGGGTTTGGCAATATATGGATTAGATCGCGTTGTGTAGAGATTGCGTGGGGTGATATAGGGACTATACGGGGTCACATAAGGATGTATAGGAGCGATATAGGGTCCCATACGGATAGTGGATTAGAAAATGGAAACTACTACAGCCTTAGCGTTATGCAAGGGCTACTGTAAGCATCCATTCCTTCATAACTTCAGCAAGTCAACCTATAACATCCTCCCTATACATCCCTAAATAACCCCGCATAGTTCCTCCATCACCCCATACACTCCCTACTCAACCCCAATTAGCTATAGTCTAAACTCCTAGCATCCCCGTTAATAAGCCCTAAAGCCCTATAATACTCCCGCCCTGCAGAAAGTTTAGACCCTAAACCCTTAAGTCCCATATAATCCCCTATAAAACCCTTTAAAAAGTTTAGACTATAGCTCAAATAATCCCACTGAGAGCTCAACAAGTTCAGCACATCTCAGCGCCCTGCCTCCGCATGCGTCTCAAAGCTGCGTGCCTGTAGCCAGAGAGCAGTTGTGCACTGGACGTTTGTAATCTTGTGCTAAAACTGGTAGTAAAAGTAACTTAACAATAGTAGTAGTAGTAGTAGTAATAATAAAATCAATAACTATTAGAATCATGGTGATAATACTAGTAATGACATGAACCCTGGTTATGGAACTCTTGTTGCTGGCCTCCACCTCAGCTTCAGGGGGTGCCCAAGTGGCAGCCCAGGCTTCAGCGAAGCGGTCCTTCCAAGCTCGACATACTCTTACTATTAGTAATACTATTACTATTACTGTTACTAGTCTATTAAAAGCACTATGAGTATTACTACGACTATTGCTATTACTATGGGTGTTGATACTAGCGTATTACTATTACTAACTATACTTCCTCCTCTTAAGATTGCTATTACTACTTCTCTAAATCTTGGAGCATCTTCATCTTCATGCAGGTCTCCTTCAGCTTGGTACAGAAGTCTGCATAGTTCCACCTCAGAAGGTTTGAAAGCTCTGACCGTCCGTCGGTACCGCCAACTGGGTGCGAGGCAGGCTTGCTGGGATCAAATCCGACCTTGCTCAAACAAAGTGAATATGGTTGCTTGCCGATGGTTTGCAAGATCAGTCAGTTGCGATCATTGGCATCTTGACACGGCTTGTCATCCGGCTGCTAATCCAGTGACGAAAATCCAGCAGCGAAACAAATGGAGAGGGCTTCTACGGCAGCTCCGGCGGGAGCCAAATCAGAGGTCAGCTTCAACTCAGATCAGGCTTGCGAGCTGCTCGTCGGCTGTCTGCGGATCGGGAGAAGATGCAACAACGCGGTATTCACAGTTTCAAAGCTTTGGGACTTTGGGGCTATAGCTAAGATAACAGCTGGGGACAGGTCTCCCTCTTGCACAGTCACAAGTCAAAAACGGTACTGACCAACTTACAGAGAACCAAACCATGGTCCTTGCCAGTAAGGAGCTCTGCCGCAAGTATACCGGAAGTTGCGAACATCGCGAAGCGACCGTTGTTAAGCTCCTGTTCAAGAGAGGCTGAGAATGGCTGAGCGAAACCTTCGTGATGCGAAACATGTGGCCCTAAACCCTAGACCCTCAACCCTAAACCCGTCCTTGTTTCGCATGTCTCGATCGTACATGCCCAAGCCAAGCGGATCTCCGAAGTTACCTGGCTCCTTCCAAGGGTCCTCCTTCCAGAACAGCCACTCCACCAGCATTGAGGCAATGACAACCAAACCGAACATCCACAAGGAAGGCACCAGCAATGCAGCCTTGTAGCCGGCAGGGGACTCTTTGAGACCGAGGAAAGGGAGTCTGATGTAGCATTGGGCCACCAAGCCCACACTGGCCAACATGGCAACGCGCCCATGCTTCAACTCCGCCGCTCGTAGTTGCTTGAACTTCCCTTCATCGCCTGAAGGGCAGAATCCCAGGGGATCGAAGTAGCCCAAAGGAGCCATGGCGCCAGGCTCCGCCGTAGGATCAAAAGGCATCCGGCGCTGCCGTGGCTTGACCTTCTGGATCGACTCCTCTGGTACCTGCTCCTCCTGCTCCTCCGACGCCTGCAGTTCCTCCGTCTCGTCGGTGGCCTCATCTTTGTCGTCAACTTCCGGAGCCTCCGTCTTCTGCGCCTGTCGGCTGACATGGATCCGACTATGGAGAGTGTTGCGGCGCTGCCTGGAGATAAGCTTCAGGGCGGGCAGAGATAGTGCTCCCATCGCAATTCCGTATGCAGCTCCACTCTGGCCCGCGCTGCATCTCGTGTTCTGCACAGCTGTGCGAGGTGCTGGCAGGCTCGAGACAGGGATGGCCACTCCCGGCGCAATCATGGCTTCACTGAAAGTCTTGAAAGGTCAGTTCGGCCGTCTCATCTTCCGAGAATGAGATTTCGTATGAAGATACTTTGGGCAAGAATGATTTCGAACACTGGCTCGCGGTTGCTGACATCTGTACTGACATGCTGCGTCTTTGAGCAAGTTCAAGAAATCGACCAAAGGGCAAAACCCTCGACCAACAGGTGTCAAGACATGTTAGTTACATGCATCCAGCTTGAAGACTTCAACTGGGTGCAAGGCGACCCGCGATCCAGCGTCACGACCTGCTTGCAGCACGAATTCTTCCATCATGCTCATGTGACAAGCTAAGTCTGGGTCACGGTAGCCTCCCAGGAAAGCACGTGATCCAGCATTGCCAGCAAACATTCGACCTGCCAGGAATGTAACTCGACTCTGCTGAAAAAGAAAACAGTCCACAACAGATCCATCTATCATGCCAGTGATCAACTATGACTACTGTAGAAAAAGCAAACATACCCAAAAAGCTTAGGCAAGGACACATTTCAGCTCTTGTCGCGGAAGCATGGCCTGCAAAGGGGCGTAAAAAAATGGGCCTTCTTGGCGGCAATGTCATTTCTCGTAGCTCTCTCTCCATGTGAGCGGTAGTCTAAACTCCTAGTATCTCCCCTAATAACCTCTCTGTAGTCCTCCCCCATTTAATCCCCTTTTCAACCTCCCTTTAGGGCGTTTAGACTATGGCTCATGTGTGGACGACCAAGAGGCCTGGATGTACTCGCTCTCCACATGTCTGGCCAAATCGCAGACGACGTGCCGCAGATCCTTCTGGATTCTGACATTATTAGTACGTTTCTTCATATTACCATTATTGCTATTTGTAATGGTAAATATGTATTATTGATTCTGACATTATTCGTGTTTTTCATATTGCTGTGAATTTTCGTGTTGTTGCTGTTGTTAGTAATACTACTCATATGAGTTAACCTTTTTAAAGACATTACTGATTTTTCTGCGGGGACCGTTGGGACACGGAGTCAGTGAGCCTGCCACCTTGCTTAAATGGCGGTTTCCGGAAATTAGGGTTATCAATTTTGGGGCCCCTATATAATATAGTTTGAAGTCTAGATTGGAGTCCCCTAATTTTTGAGAAGCTACCGAATGTGCAAAAGACCCAAGAAGCCTAGTGGACCCCAAGTGACCAGCCTCTCGCCAGCGATTGTGCCAGCACAGGTGCAGCTGTGGAAGGCCATAGGACGTGCAGGATCCCCAATTTGGCGTATGAGGATTATAATCTAGCCAGAGCATGAAGCAGAAGACCACATCGCCCCAAACACGCAGCCTGACAAAGCTTTCCTCTGTGCTTTGCACTGATTGACTGGACCCTGGGGCAGACGAAGATGTTTCGCTCTGAACGCCTTCGCCGCGCAACAGTGCAGACAGGGCGTCATGGTGCTTGATTCTGGCAGATGTGCGCCAAATCGATCCTGTATAGACATGCGGCATGTGCTTCAGCTGAGGTGAGAGATGCCAATGGAGCGCATCCCAAATCTGCGTGACAGCCTTGCGCCAAGCGTTGCTTATGTTGTCTTGGACCTGAAGGACCAGTTCATGGCGAACTCGATCCCGCACAGCCTCACGCAAACGCTCTGCCTGCGCAGGCTGATGCTGTGATGCCTTTACCTGGGTTGCTGTCAAGGAACTTAAATTAAGTTACAGTAATGGGTATATATAGGGATTATGGTCAAGAAAATGGAAACTACTATAATGGGGTTATATGGGGTTCAGGGTTTAGGGTTTAAGTTACCATCATGGGTGTGTATATATATATATATCATTTACTATAGGGTTTCGCCAATATAGTAACTTAATTTAAGTTCCTTAACAGCAACCCAGTTACAAGGGCAACCCCGCCTGCCACAACAACTGCCCCCGTCGCTGTGCTAGCTAAGAGGATCGGCGACTCAGCTGCCGCTGCGGTTGCGGCTGCAGCAATCGCCCTTGCACCGGTGACTGCAGAAGATGCCATCACCCGAAACAAATCGAGGGCTAATGTAGTTCCCCATACCGTCAGTATAGGGTTCGGAAAATTTCGGCGCTGCCAAAAGTTGGCATCGTGAGCATCCATATCGTCGTCGTCATCTGAGTCTCCATGCCAGCGTAGGCGACAGAAAGGACATCTACGTAGATGACCATAGCAGTGGTAGCACAAGGACTGGCCGCAGCAGTCCAGCTTCTTCTCGGCATGAGGCGGGGGCTCTCGATTCTCCTCCGTCTCCATCCACCTCACGTATGTCTCGAAGCAAATTGGGCAGTCTGTTAGTGGGTCCATGCCACCAGAGACGACGTCCTCTCCTGATCCCGAGGATGCTGGCTGCATGTCTCTCCAAGGCAACTTTACAATCTTTCACTGCAACTAAGATGCTCAAAGATGACTGTCTTAAGTTCCTGTGCTTGCAATGTTCAGAATCTGCTGTCTGGATACATTTGCATGCAAGATCTCTGATGCGTAGCCCTGCAGTCTGATACACACTGGAACCGAGACTCTGTCGAGACGCATGTGCACGCAAAATGACTTCATGCGCAACGCAACCCATTTCAACAATGGGCATTGCATGCCAGACTATATGATATGATGAGTCTGTACCATGCGACCTGCCAATCAAAACAATCACATGCCGCGTCGACCATCCATGTTTGCCAAAAGGTGCCAGCTGGTTCGCACAAATGTTCTTTAGCTTTGTTCGCGGAAAGTCTGTTTTTGACTCGTTCAGTGCTTGACTCTTGAAACTGCGGATGTACAGTGATGTACATGTAGCATGCTTAATGGGCTCGACTCTGCGGAACATGAGCGGCAGGCAATTCTCAACACGGTTGCTTCCTCTGTCATGAACACAATTTCCTGTGTAGGAAATGGCCAGTGCTTCTTCGGCTAGCTGAGGGCTCGGCCTGGGCTTCGGCTGTTGCCTGTCCCAAGCTCCGTTATCTAGCCAAGACATTCCGTGCATGAAATTCCCTAAACCAAGCATTGCATGAAGGGCTGGTGAGCATCAAATGAATCCCAGCGGCCTGGTGAACGAGAAGGCTGGCCCTCGGTTTGACACATATCGGTTCATGACGTTCATGAAGAATGCGGCTCTCAAAAGCATCTTGACAAGCCCTGGCCTGTGATGGCGATGTGTTTCTCATTGCCGTGGCCTCATTTCCAACATCAGGGCAGAAGAGTTCAGAGGTAGTATATGCCAAACATGATCAAGCCAAGATGCACTCGCAGGCTGTCCACATACTTCCATGGAGCAGCATGACCTTCGACGACAGACCAACATCATGCCAAAAACCCTTTCAGTGTGAGTCGGTGTATGTCACTGGCATCCTATATAACCCATTATAGTAGTTTCCATTTTCTTTTCCATTCTCCCCATAGAACCCCAATATACTACAGTAGTTTCCATTTTATTTTCCATTATCCCAATATAATCCTTAATATAACCCCAATATTCTCCTAATATTACCCCATATTCTATCACAATTCCTAGAAAAGCCTTAAAAAATCCTTATAATCCCCTCCTATAGTATGGTTACCCCAAATTCTATCTACTTAAACGGGACTATAACACCACGCATCGAGTCCCGGGCGCCCACATGAAATCACATTTGCGCCCCGGCTCTCACAACATCAGGACATGGGGGTTTCCCAAAATTACGGGTACCATTTTAGGGATCCCCATAATAAGGATGATAGTATATTGAGGTCTATATTGGGGTCCCCTTATTTAGGGAAACTACCACATGGGCGTGACTGCTCCTGTCCGTTTTGGGGTGGCTTCTTCCCGCACCCTACAGTATGACAACGTGTGCTTTGCACAGAGCATTGGCTTTGAACAAGGCAAACATTGATGGCTTCGATAGCATGATTGAAAACTATGCTTGAACATGACTGAACCCCGAGTCCCTGTATGCCTGCAGGAGCGAATCAGGAAACTGACACATCTACAATGACTATTCGGTGCATCACAAGCAGAACAATCGTCATGCATTTCCCTCTCAACTTGCTCGAAGCAGTGCAATGCTTTGCCGCCAGCCAGAGCGCTGACCACAGTTGCAAGTTGCAGCACATGATCACACATGAAGAAAGCTGAAGGAGAACGACGAGCCCACAAAGCCGCGTTTTCCAGGTACAAACCATTACTACATTGGTTACGATTTTCCACGCTGATTGTCCCGATTCTCTTGCAACAAATCTCTTCACACAAGCCCTCACGACATTGAATTCAATAAGTAAATACATGAAAGAAAAATTGCATCAAAAAGAAAGTTCCAAATCCAATATGTGAGGATCGCTGAGGCGCTTGAACTTCCTGGAGCTGAGGTTTGCATTTTTTCCTGGGGCGGTCGGGTTATTCGTGTGTCGTTTTGATATGTGTGCTTCTGATGAAGTTTGTTTTGTGTTTGTTTTGGTTGCTGGTCGCCGGTACTTTCTGCATTGCTGTGGGACGGCTGGATTGCTGCAGTCAATGGACAGGCGGCATTTGACAGCGAGTGTTGTGCTGCATTGCCGCATTTTGAAGAGGTTGTGAAAGGACACGTTAATTGAACCATCACACTCGATGAGAGCTCGGTTTAGCTTGGGCTCGGACTATTCCTCTTGGGCACGTGCGGCTTGGTAGCTGCAAGGTTGGTCCCAGAAGGGGATTTTTTCCAGATGTTCGGTGAGGCACGGCGATTACAGTCAAAGTCTGTGTCATTAAGGTGAATGTTTGGCAGGTGTTCCGGAAGAACGCAATATATTCCGTGAATTTACCTGTCCCAGACATCTCAGTTGATCAGTTCTCCGCCTGCCTTGTATGCGGATGGGTGCCACAGGTCGTGTTGCCCAATTTGTTTCTGGCAAATTTGGCTCCTACCTCCACCACCCTCCACCGAAACCTAGATTTTGCATACTTGTAAATCTTGTTAATGCAACCACTTGAGTTGTAAGCCGATGCACATTTGCATACCAATCGCAACGACAACCGCAATGGTGGTCCTTTTTTGTTCGTTGTACTTTACGCAAAAAAGGGGATGCACAAGTCATTTGTTACAACCCATCGTGTGGTGAAGTGTTGCTGTATGATTGATGCACAAGATACACCGGCGTGAATGTCTCCCTGTATTTATGCATGTTGTACCTAGACGAAATCTTGCATGTGCTGCTGTCACGGTTTACAAGCGCCTTGAGTCAGACCAACAAAATTCGCAGTGCCTTGTACGCAACCATACTTTTACCGATGCTGGTAAAGGAGCAGGTGAAAGGCTTGCATCCAGCAGGGTAGGTGCTTTGCGTATCCGGGCTGGGCGAGCCCATAACGTCGACCCAGTAATTCGACCCCTCATCTTGTCGTAGATTACTCTGAGCCACGAGTGTCGCAAGTCTACAGTACCAACCTCGGACCAGGATAACGGGACTCCTCTTAAGAGTTGCTGCGGATCGCTCATTCAGTGGCGATCCAGCTTTCTTTCGTGACTGGGGATTCAGGACGCTGACCAAATCCAAGCCGATGGGTTTGAAAGGGTCCAAGAAATTCGGAGTTGCGTCCATGTCATCCCGCAGTAGCCATGACGGAGAGCACGTTCTATGCGTGTAAGGCCAGGACGGATGGTGCACCGAATCTTGGACAGCCATGGGGACGAAGCCTTCGAAGTCACCAGAGGCATCGGAGCTGAGTCTCTAAAAGCACCAGATGGTCTACCTTTTTTTGGTGGAGAAAATGCGGGAGGTTGTATATTCCCCTGTAGAGCAGAAGAAGCTCGACAGCTCTTCCGAGCAGCACGCAAGCAAGGCGTACTCTATAAGCAATCCGGAGGGTGGATGCTGTCGTACGTGTCACGGCAAAGGCGATGGTGGAAGCACTTGCGTACACTAGACACGACCATCGAGCTCTAAGAGCCGATGCGTGTCGAGCTTCTGCTTGTAAGGCGCGCGTCAAGGACTCCAAGAGTTTCGAGTCTGGTGCAGCAATTCTCGTGGATTTCTATCCCGGGGTCCACCTCCGAGAGGGAAGGCTCCTCGGAGGAAGCAGCGCATCCCACAAGCCTGTTTTTCGCGACCGATGAGCCTATGCGGCCATTGAGGAGGGTGATGGAGATGATGAGGATGCATGGCAGGATGATTGGCAGGGGTAGCGGCGCAATGTGGCCCCAGCCACCGCAAGATCTCAACGCCAAACGCAAGCAAGGAGGAAAACACAAAAATCAAAAGTGGAGATCCTTAGGCAGCGTTAGCGTGTGGAAAAGCACGCAGAGGCTACGAGCATCATTCCGATGCCAAGCGCGCCATCAGCTTTGAAGATCCCTGCGCCACCTCCTGGACCCAGCTTACAACAAAGAGTGTTCGCAAGCTACGCTTAAAGGTCTGGCGCGCCAGCCCTTACCAGCACCCCAATTTTCCTGATGGAAGGACCGGGAGCTGCAGACAAAGAGGGGAAAAGCGCCCAGTGAGTACTCAAGTAGGGGCCTGGAGCAGTGAGAGATCAGGAACACGGGCTTGCGGAGCCAACCCTGAAGCACCGGAGGCTCCTAATGCCGTAGTGCCAAAAGAGCAGTTGGAGATCGATGCCTCGCGCCTTGCTTCAGAGGCTGCTCCTTCGAACCAACACTCAGCAGTTAGTGATGGGAAACATCCCTATCATTTGGTTTTCACTCGCACGCGGCTGTTGGCTAAGTTTCACTACGCGGCTGTATCTAGCAGCCACCAAGTCATAATCGACTCAGCACTGCCCGACAAAGATGCGCCGGAGCTGGGCCGGCTCCTTCAGCCAGCTTTCTTGCTCTGGCAGTCTGGCTTCGTAGTGGTGGGCAAATCCGGGCTTGTCCCTGTTTGCCTGCCAAATGCCACAATCTGAGTCTGTGAGCTTGCGCGTGGCTGCTTTGGAACCCGGCACCTCCACCGCCTCCTCTGGCTCTGAACTGGCTCGCTTGAGATAGGCAGGTGACCTGGGATGCAATCTTCTTGCGATGCAGCAACAATTTGCACAACGGAAGGCGGCAGCTGGCTTTGATGTAGTCGCCGCTTGCGTCCTGAGGCGTAACAGGCTGGCGCTCGTGATAATCTATTTGCACATTGTCTTAATCTGAGTTGAGGGCCACGGCGATCACGACTGGGCTCCATCCGCAATGGATCTCCTTCGCAAAAATGAAAACAATGATTGTACCTTGAGAACTCCGGGCGCACTTCTGTGCAACGGCCATCTCGGAGGGCGAGCATCTTGAACAACTGGCGCGAATGCTGCAGATAGAGCAAGACGAGGAACATCTGGCGACCACTCAGTGCTCCGCTGGATGGACAAAGGGTCGCAAGATGGAGAGAGGTGCGCAATTCCAGAATCCAGTTGAGCCAGAGGCTGATGGAACAGAACTGAAGTTAGATAGCATGCACAATCTCATTACTCTCCCCCAAACCAACATGGAACCCAATATAGACCCCTCTGAAAATTGAATTCCATGCTATTTGTCTGCATGGGAGAGAAACTAGGAGCTTCAGTGGCAGCTGGGTGCAGGAGTGCAAGATGAACTCCCGCAATGCACTGTGCACAGGGCGTGTGAGATGAAGACAGAGCCAATAATGCAATCCTTCTGTCTGTGATGTTTCAAAGGCTAATGTAGCGTCACCGCTTTTGTTACCTGCGGCGGTCTTGCGAATTCTTCCGCTTGCGTCTTGAGCGCGAGCGTGACCTGAGACGTCTCATGCTGACAATGTCAATGGAAGTTGGCAATGTTGGTGGAGCTGCCCTAAACCCTAAACCCTAGCCTCCTCCTTCGACTCTGGCTCCTGCTTCTGCTGCGCCGTCTCGGGAGAGACCTTGCCAACGTCTCTAGAAATTGCAGCCTAAACCCTCAAACCCAATATGGGTGTGTGTCAAAACTTTAGTCCCTTTCTGGGTCCCGATTATAATACGACACCTAATATTTAGGGTACCCAAAAAGGGACCATAATTTAGACCACCACCCATATCTGCCCTATTATACTATAGTAGTTTCCATTTTCCTTTCCATTATTCCCTATATTAGCCCATTATATACCCTATAAAAACCCATTATAGTAGTTTCCATTTTCTTTTCCATTATTCCCTATATAACCCCAATAATGTAGCCTTAACACAGCTGTTGCCATGCTCTTGGTCTGCAACTTTCGGCTTGCCTTCTTGTCCGCCTGAACATCATTAAGGGTTGTTCTCAAAGTTATGGGCGTCTTTTGAGAAGTTCTTATATTGCGGCACCTAGTATCTAGGAGTATCAAAATGGGACCCAAATTCAAGGAACTAGCCATAAGTCCAGCACAAGAAAGAGCACAGCAGACCTTCCAGGCCTTCCGATCACGATCCCGAGACCGGGACGTATCCCTCTTTCGCTTGTCTTCTGTCTTATCTCTTCTGTAGTGGTTGTACTTATAGTCCTTGTGTTCCATGTGCCCCTTCCAGTAGTAGCCCCACTCCTTCTGCTTTGGCGCACTGTTCCAGCCAGACCTGGGGCTTGCTCAACCGGCCATTCACCAGACTTCAGTCGAGGTCAAGCTGGTAAGGCCAGGGCTCAGACTGTTTCTGGTCGTCTGATTGGGCCCTGGTCTGAGTTGCTGTTAAGGAACTTAGTTCAAGTTACCATACTGGGCAAGCCGTGGTTATCGCCATGTATACCCATTACGATAACTTAATTCAAGTTCAATAACAGCAACCCAGTGGCTGCAGGATCAGCCGGGAGCAGTCAGGTAGGGGCTCAGGTAGCTAAGCTCCACGCAGCGGCGCAGAAGCATCGGGCGGTGGCTCTTCCACCTGCCGCAGTTTTCGTTGCCGTTGACTGCAGTAATACCAACGATAATACCAAAAATAATGGAATATCAAGATACAAGTACAAGTGATAATAGTAAGAATAAAAGTAATACTAGTAAGTATAAAAATCATAATAGCAAGAATATTAACAATAATGGTAAGAATAAGAATAGCAATGATAGTGAGCATAATAGCAATACTGTTGATGGATGAAATCTTGCACCACCTAGGGGCCCTAAACTACTGTAATTCCTAGGACTTTAGAGACTTAAGGTGGTGCAAGATTTCCTCCATCAACAGTAGTAAGGATAATAGAAATACTAAAGAGAAACTCAAGTGCCAGACTTCCGTGGCCTTGGGCGGCTTCGGCGGCTCCGGCGACGGCTCCTTCACGGGCTCCGGAGGCCAAAGTTCAGCCTGCCTGGAGCTTATGCCCGCCTGGCCGAGGAAAGTCTCAGGGTTTAGGGTTTAGG